TTTGAATCTTGAACATAGTAGTAATCCCTCGACCTCAATCATTTGATCCTCACGCAAAGCCACAAACCTTTATGCAGCTCCTGAATGCAACATCTTGTTGCATATTCACTTGCATGCTTTTGCACTTCTGTTACTCATGCATTTATTGCCTTGCCCGTTCTTCTTCTCCTAATTGTTGCACTTGGTCGCCCTCACTCTCTAATTTTTCCATGTATCATGCTCCTTGTATTTCACCCGCTCTGTCTTTGGCCCCTCTTTTTCTAGGTCATATCTCTCTCCGTCTCCCTCTCTCATATTAATTAATTGACTAATAATCGGTTCCAATGAGCCCACATTATGTGGGCTCATATTTTCTTATTTTATTTTATTTTATAAATAAAAATGACCTTTACTTATGTCATGTTGCCACCCTAGTTGCTTTCTTGCTTTGTGAGCATGGCTGCACTTGCATTGCTACTCGTAGCTTACACCGCCCACACATTCATTCGATCGCACTCGCTGACACTGCTCAAGCCTCAAACGTGCTTGTGCACCTATGTTGCTCATCTTGAGTTAATTTTTTTTACCATGCCTATGCTTTCCTCAAATGTCTTAGATGCTAATACAAACATATATTTCTCCCAATAACTCTTGCATAGTATTATTTAGGTTAGGACCCTTCTCCTCAAAGATCTAAATACTTTCACTCTTGCGACTTCATCTCACACAATGTCATAGCCTCTCAGTGTCCTCTCAATGAATTGAGATTCTCATCTACTATCAGTACCACAATCAAGTTTTGTGATATTAATCGTCATGATGACACCATCATATTCTCCAAATAGCAAGCTTCTGGTTATCCTATTCTTGAATGCTTAATTTTGAACCTTCCAATGCCTTCATAATCATATTTCATGGCGCTATCAAGGTAATGCGGATTTTCTGCGCTCACCCTACTTTTATGAAAGTAACATCTTTAGGTTATATATTTTATTCCTATTTTATTTAAAGCGTGATGATTTGCACGTCCATGACTACTATAGTATTTATTGGGTAAGTGGGATAAGTCAATTTAGTTTAAAACTTTTGTCTATTATTACAAAAGTTTGATAACAATAAAATTGAGTTTGCAGTTGATAAATTTTATGTTGATCTTCATCCATCTCTTTAGAATGTGCAATCTCATATGATGGTAGATTCTACGGTTCTTAATCTTGCAACTACTCTTTTCATATTTTTTTAAGCCATTGAGGTATCTCTCTATCCACTAATTTCTGGTCAAATTGCTCTTGTTGTAGACTATCGTGTTGGGTGTTATTGTGGAGGTTATACTGAAGGTGATTGTGGATCTATGTTGCAGTGATACGGATACGGCGACAGTGTACAGATACGGGACACATCAATTCTTAAAAATATAGGATACGGGTACGGCGCGGACACGTCATTATAATTTATAAATCATACATAAAAATTAAGAAAGCAATCAAGAAAATGAAAGCAACATCATTTGTAGCCTTGTAGCTTATAATATCAAAATAAAAGTAAGCATTGAGTCAAGGGAATAGTTAAAACTCATTGCCTAATAAGAATTTTGTGGCATGATTCCACCAATTATGTTGTTGCATGATTTGGTGGCATGTTTAATGAATAACGTATGAGAGCTAAATTTCTTTTTTTTTTTCCATTTAAGAAGACATACAAACCACAATAACATGACTTTTTTTAATACATGAATAAAAAATCAAAGCATTACAAATGCAAAATAATTGATGCCCTTATATCATATTTTTCTAGTAAACTAACATTAATGTAAATGGCTCGCGGGTTCGAAAATGTGAGAACCTTGCTCGCAACCATGGAAGTAAATATGACGCGTCTTTTTTTGGATTTTTTTTCATCTTTCAACGGACACACGTGTCCTTTTGAATTAAATAGTATTTTAATTGGATATGGCTTTGACGTATCCGACACGTATCGGACGCCTATCGTGTCCAACACGTATCTAATATAGCACGCCTTCATAAATAGGTGTATCGGTGCAACATAGTTGTGGATGTGGAGGGAAGCCTTATCTTTCTGCTCTCATTATGGTCCTAATAATCATCCTTTAGATCAATGTTAGGCCAATTTAGATATCTTCCTAATGCTCTACAGACCTTTTCCACTACCTCCATTCCTTCAAGATCTGTCATACTCTTTCAAGGATTATGATCGCTTAGTATACACTCTCAAATCTCTATATTTACTTTTTTATATTATATTCTTGTTTAGATTTGCTTCGACATCCTCATTATGCATATCTTGAATCTTAGATTATGGTAATTCTTCACACATGACAGGTAATTGATGTCTACTCCTCTCTTGACATATTATCTCTACCACCTGTCCTTATTATTGATTATTCGCCTTCAATAATCGCTAGCAAAGGCCATGTCTCTCTCTCAACCTCTCTCTGATGTGTTATGTATACCCAAGTTTCATGTTGATTTAATTTACATTCAACGTGTAGCTGAATCTCATAATTGCGTTGTGATCTTTTATCCTTCTCATTGTGCTTTTCAGGATCTTGGTATCACAACGATGATTTGTGGAGATGTTGAAGTTGGAGTAATTAATTATCTGGCAAGCATGATCCACTCTACTTTCTCCTCTAATATTACTCTAGTTTAATAACATTGTCATATTGTTTATCCTCCACTACCATGAATTATACATTTTGTTTGTGTTTTATCCTCTATTTAAGTTTGAATGCTTATGAACTTGGTGAGCATCATCGATGGTCTTTTACTTGTTTGGAGCTGGTTCATTCTAATAGTTGGAGCCCTCATCTTCCTACACATTTTGGTTTAGGTATTTTGTTACTTTTTTTTGTATTATGTTACTTTTATTGATAAGTATTCTTGTATTACTTAGGTATATCTATTGAAATGTAATTAGGAGGTTGTGGGCTTAAAAAATATTAAGAATGTACCACCTCGAGAGATGAAAGTAAATCTTTTTCATGGGTTTAATGAGAAGCAGGCTGTCTTTTAAATACTTCATAGAGTGAAGACTTGTTCTACCTCATAAAAAAAAAAGGCTGATTGTACAAATTCTAAAGATAAATATGTTTATGTAATAATAAAATATAAAGTGATTGGTGGAGATTTTAAAGCAAGAGTAGTTGTCTCGTGAACATGGCCACCTCTAGTTTGTCATTACTCCATATTAATATCATTGTCGTTTGAGTTATCCTCCACTAGTGCGAATTAGAGATTTTGTTACATTCTTTCCTCCTATCTGTTTATGTTTAAATGCTTATAAACTTAATAAACATCATAGAGTGTTTTTTACATCATCTACATCGAATCCCAATTGTGCCCATTTCAGTTTGTTCATTTTAACAGTTGGGGACCCTTCTATTCTTACTCATTAAGGTTTTAGATATTTTGTTATCTTCATTGATGATCATTCTCGTGTTTGTTAGATTTATTTGTTGAAATGTAAGTATGAGTTTGTGGGATTTGAAAGATGTAGCACAAGAAGAAAATAGATTGTACCACCTCGATGGATGAAAGTAGATCCTGCTCATAGGTTTAATGGAATGAGGACAAATACACATATTTTTTTTCTTTTAAGATTTTTGTAGATAGAGGAATTATACTACCTTGAAAAATAGAAAGCAACTTATTGTTTGAATTCAAATGACAAATTTATATGCAATAATTAAATATAAGATGATTGGAGGAGATGTTAAAGTTTTATCTAGCAAATATGATCCCTTATATTTTCTCCTCTATCATTACTCCATATCAATAACATTATCATATGGGTTATTCTTCACAACCAAAAATTAGAGATTTTGTTTCTATTTCATTCCTCTATGTTTAAGTTTAAATACTTATGAATTTAGTTAACTTTATTTAGTGCTTTTGACCTCATTTACATGGAATTCAAGAAGTGCCCATTTGAGTAGGTTTATTATGCGAGTTAGGACCCTACTCCTATTCTTACCCATTTAGGTTTTAGTTATTTGGTTACCTTCATTGATTATCAGTCTAGAGTTACGTTGGTATATTTGTTGAAATGCAAGTTCAAGGTTGTGGGCTTTGAAAGACAACGAGAAAAAAAAAAGAACACGCCACATTAAAAGATGAAAATAAACCATCGCCATGGGTTCAATGGAAGGCTCGGGATCATCCGTGGTAGTCTAGGGAAGTTTATTTGCAAGCTGATATACTAGGATATACTTTGTCACAACCCGGCCTGGATGCTCGATTTAACTAGGCGGGAACTAAAAATCAGACGGTAGGATCTAATCATTTCAGTTCATAAACTAAACAACATAAAAACATCAAATTCTCTTTTCTTTTATCCGAAGAGCTACTAACAAAATTCTTCAAATACTTAACATTTCTCAAATCATAAATTACCCGTTATCAATTGCATGTCGTCTTTTATAGATGAACTCTTCTTTTTCTGCAATTTCTAAATCTTTGGAGTTTGGAGACTTACCTAAAACAGTTAATTTATGGAATGAGTTTACAAATTAAACTCCGTGGGTAACTGTTAAAACGATCGACATGAATATCCTTTATTTACAATATACATATAATTTTTAATATGCATCTTATCCTTTCTTAACTTTATTTCATTCATTTAAGTCATACATATCCGGTCTTTTTTCCTTACATTATAAAATTTTAATATTTATTCCTTTTCTCTTTCAATTCATACAGGAGCACCGTCTAAATGTACCCAAAGGTACAACCATTTTTATTTTTCATTTTTATGACACATTGGAGAAAAATGATTCATGTAGCCGAACCCATATAGTTGAATAAAGGGTTGTTGTATATAATACCCAAAACAATCATAATTGTTCATGCTATAGTTTGTCAGTGCTCTTTGCCTCAAGTTGGTATTAGTATATAAAAATTCTGAAGATAAGACTTTCTAAATAACCGAGTTCTCAGAACTCTTTTATGATCACCAAATTAAATTCTCTGTGATAATTTGAAAGTATATGTATTCTAAAACAGGCCTCCAATAGTTGCAAAATGTGACCGGAAACGAGTTCTCTGTTCTTGGGCCCCTTATTGTAGCAACATAGTTCCCTTAGAGTATCAGATTGATTTCTCAAATGTAAGGCATCTCACTCCCAGACAATTCGTTGAAAGGTTAGCCAAGGAACTCAGAGTAGGTGGAGTTGTGGCAGGTATTGCTATCTTTTCGGTAATTTTGAAAATCTGTCTCTCTTATAGTCCATCATTTCATCACTTAAAAACACTTTGTTGTCACGGCAGGTGCAAATTATAGATTTGGATATAAAGCCTCAGGTGATGCGAAAGATCTTGTAAGATTATGCGAAGAATATGGTTTGTATGCCTCTATTGTAAGTCCTGTGATGGACAAGACCTGGCATGGCTCTCAAAATGGAGCAAGTGTTGCCTGCAATTCTGGTGACCTGGGACAGGTCTCCTCTACTCGCGTTCGCCGTTCTCTTGCCATGCGCGATATGGCACATGTTGCAGAGCTTTTAGGGAGGAAACATCGACTCGTGCTCGTGCCGATGAATGAAAAGTATCGGTTCGCAGAGAGTACTATAGTCGCTCCGAAATCTTGCTTGCTAAACCAGCCACCTGGTGATGGTGAGTTCAACAACTGCACTTTTCTTTTAGATGATGTTACTGTTGGCTTGTGCAGGTTAGCCATTGATTCGAACAGCATTAGGATTGAGCTGGATTGTGAGAACTTGTCAGAAATCAATTTGGTTCAAGATGGCAGATGCATTGGCATTGAATTTTGAAGATCAAGAATATTTATAAAGAGAAGGTTAACAGGTCAGTTATTAGAAAGTATTAGTTGCAATGGATTGAATTGATTTTATAAGCAGCAAGGAGCAGCTCTGTTTAAACTGAGATGTGAATATAAGGAAAATATTGGTGGACAGATTGCACTGCTGCAGCTTTACATTAAATATTCTTCTGTTTTTTATTTTTGTAATTAGTATATGGAAATCTTATATATTATAGCCTGAAAAGCTCATTTCTGTGATGTCTCTTGACAATTTGGATTTTATTTTATGTTTTTTTTTTTCATTCTTTTAAATGTTGTAAGAGGTGTTAAATTTATTTTAGGATATATTATATGGGAGTCTCTTAAATTAAATTTGTATTTTATTTTGCTCCCAGTTTTTGAAAAATTATATTTGGATGTATGGGATTTGTTGTGTTTTAAATAAATTTGTGATAAAATTGTTTGATTTTTTTTTTTTTCAGTTTTTAAAGCTTTCTTCACATATAATGGCCATTGGTAGTAGAGATCATGGTTGGAGTACCACCTGCACCTTGCAGCTCATCCTCTTCAACAAGCACTCTTTCAATCCTTTGAAGCCATTCAGCTGTTGGTTGGGTGTTTTAGATTTCGTTTGAGATAGCTTTCTTACTGCTTTCAAAAGCAGCTTTCTAGTACAAAAAAGTAATGAAAGCAGTGAAAAAGTAAAGGCCAACTGCTGTCCCAATCCAAGTCTAAGGTTTCGTTTGGGACGATTTTTTAGTAGCTTTTTAAAACAAATTTTTAGTACAAAATTAAAAAATTTGTACTAGGAAGTTGCTTTTAGAAGAAACTACAAAGCAATCCCAAACGAAGCCTTAGGCTTCGTTTGGGACGGCTTTCTTGTTGCTTCTTAAAGCAGCTTTCTAGTTCAATAATTAAATTTTTTGTACTAGAAAGCTGCTTCAAGAAGCAACAAAAAAGCCATCCCAAACGAAGCCTTAGTTATCAACCAAGAGATTTTGGACTTAAGCTTTGTGTTTGTATTGTGTGTGAGTTTAGGTGCTGCCCCTTAATTCCCAAAAAAAAAAAAAAAATCCTTAGAAATCCTCTATTTGCAGGGAACACGAAAGCAAAAGTTTTGTTTAGAAGCCAAACGGTGCTAAGCATGTGCTTCTCGGCCGCTCATGGATTTGAAGGAGATTTTAAATATGCTTAATTTCATATTTTTCACAAACAAGTTGTTTAGGGCAAAATTCTTGCCTCATATAGGTTTTTTGAATAATTTCTAATTATAAATTACAGTTTTTTTTCCCTTATTCAATGATGAATTAGAGTTTTGCCTCGGTTAAAATTAAAAGTTTGAGAGAAAAAAATCATATTCCATTGCTCAATTTCTTCCATATTTATAGATCTATATGTGATATTTAAAAAAAGAAACAAATATTTACATATTCATGCATAATAGCCCTAATACATTCCTTCCTAAATCAACTACTTCATTGTGGAAAGGAATCAATATGACCATGTGTGATTCTTGCGAGGTTCCCACAGATCGTTCTTTGTGGTCGTCGAATCTCCTTTGAGAAGGAACATCTAGGATTTTAACACCCCCTCAAGCTGGGAGGTATGGATCTATTATTCCCAACTTGGCTATTATTTTGAGAAAGGTATAGTTATCTAATCCTTTGGTAAGGATATTTGCGAGTTGATCTTTTGATGACACATGGTTGATACATATAAGACCACTATCTAACTTTTTCTTTATAAATATCTATCAACTTATATGTTCTTGGTCCTATCATGTTGGGCAGGATTGTGAGTTATGTTGATTGCCGATTTATTGTCACGATGCAATTTTATAGGTTTGTCCCACTTGATCCTTAGATCTTTTAGAATTATCTTGATTCATAGTACCTCACATATTCTCAGGGCCATAGCCCTATATTTTGCTTCTGCATTGGATCTTGCCACCACATTCTGTTTCTTGCTTATCCATGTAATTAGATTTTCTCTAAGAAATGTGCAATACCCCGAAGTAGTTCTTTTGTCTACTAGTGATCCTGCATAGTTAGCATCAATATATACTTCTGAGGTTATTTCGTGGTCTCTTCTGAAGAGAATTCCTTTTCGTAGGTTACCCTTAAGGCAGGGGCGGAACCGACTTTAATTTTGAGGGGGGGCAAAAATACAGCACAAAAATAATTAAATATTAAAATAAAAATATTAAAATAAAGAAAAAATGTGTAATTAAACTGTTATTAAAAGCATGAAAGAGAATATTAGAACTAAATGTGAAGAAATATATAGATATTTTAGGACAAGTTAGGACAAAAGAGCACAAAAGAATTTTTTAGGGGGGTGTGGACCTCCGAAGGAGCACCGCTCGTGGGGTACGAACGCAGAGGGTACGGCCGCACTATCCCTGTGGGACAAAACGATCGCAGACCTCTACACTCGACACGAACAGGTCGATGGGAGGACAGATTGGATCGTGCATACGACTGACCATTGGGGATAGAGGCTGTCGCCAACACACCCCGATGGGTAGCAATACAATAGGAAAAGTTGATGTGCTTGGTAACTTTGAAATTTTAAATGATGTGTTAAGTTTTTTCTTTACTTTGTGTTTCACATCACTGCAAAAAGGGGGAGATTGTTTGCAAATCTAATCCTTATTTCAATGACTTTGTTTTGATGATTGACGCAAACACTATTGGTTCTCTTGGACACTGCCTGTTTAACTTCTAAACTTTTTCAGGAATCGAATTCGGAACGAACAAACGAAAGCCAGTTCAAGATTGCGTAGGTGGGGTTGAGATCGTCTTGTACTTTTTTTTCTATTCTTGAGTCTATTTAAATGGTCAAAGAGACTGATAGCTACGTACCCTATCACACACGAGGTTGAGAGACTAGAATTCTTATTTTTACTTCATATCGCCAGAACGATATCTACATCGTCCTGGACAATCAGCTTAAAACACAAAGTCAAATAAGGATTGGGTAATCCTCTTAAAATCTAACAGGTGGGGGACGCCATAGTCCGTATCACCAGGAATAAATGTGACATACAGCCAAGTTCACTCAAACACAGAAAGAAGTTGTCCGCCATAAATACAATTAAGGTTATTTATGTATTTTTAGAATAATCGGACCAGGACGTCATTGATCGGCTGGACGATATTCACAATTATGCTTAATTGATCAGGAAATCAAGGGGAGTAATTAAGGATATTGATAGATCATATCGTCCTGGATCGCATCGACAGGATCGGCTAGGACGATGGATTCAAAACTTAGTTACTACAGGATGATAAATATCGGCCAGCTTCGAAATTCAGTGCGTGCCATAGACCGCGTTTCCTCTGATTTGAATTGATTCGGACGGGATAGATCCTTGAGAATCGGCCGGAGATCAAGCCAAATTTAAATCAATCCAGTATTAACATTCAGGCGTATGCTCTGGCGCGAATCTTAGCTGGAGCTTTGTACTGATTGCCAGCCGATGTCCATACGGCCTGACATATTGTCGGC